ACGCGACTAAAAAAGAAAGGCACCTATGGTTGATGTTATTGATTCTCAATTTGATAAGTTGACGACCAGCCTGGATGGTTTTGCTGGTGTGCTTAGCTCATCAAATGTTCATTTTGGTGTGATCTCTGATGCAGTCGTGCGTCAAGTAACAGCTATGGAAGACAGAAATCAAATACTCCGTCGCAACTCCAATTACACATATACAGAGGCGGACATTTATGAAATGCTTAGTGCTATGAACATTGCTGATGAAAATTTGCTAGAGCAATGTTATGATTTCTTATGTGGAAACCCCACATGTACAAAGAGGTTGATGGGACTTCCACCACACAAGCGGTGGAATAAATTATGTAAAATGATATCGGGCGGTGACTGTTAGGAAGGCTTATATCACTACTATTATTACGATTATGTGTACTGATGTCATAGTCACCTTAATTAAGAATTATCTTTATTTTATCCATCTGTGATTTTAAAATTATGTTTAAAAATACGATGTAATGATTTGTTCTTATTCACTCTTATTGTTAAATATAAGTAATTTATTATCACTAGCTTTGTTGTTGTCTCCTGTTTTACTTTGTTCAAGAACCTGTGAAATGACCTCATCATCAACCAAAAGGCCAAGAAAAAGTCGTAAGGGAAAAGAAACCCTCATTGAGGCAGAAGATGCAGCCCATGTAAGACCATCTGTACAGGAACATTTAGATCAGAGTCGTTTCTTCACGCACAGTCATCAAATGGAAAACTATGCAGCATATTTCTATACAAGGAGTATAGTTGTTCCCAAGATAATGAATTTTGAATCATTTACCGGTTCAGGGTTATATTTTCAACAACATCTTCTATTTCAAGGGGTGGTGGAATTGCTTACATTGCAGGGACCCTACTATCCAGATTTAATCAAAGTATTTTATTCCAATCTGAAGATATCTGGAAATGGATATTTGATCAGTGAGGTGAACAAGAAAAGAATTAGATTGAAACCTGTTGATTTGTTGAATGTAGCTAACTTGAAGTACCAAGGTAAGAAATTGTGTTATTCAAATATCCCAGAGGACTTTCCATATGACCGCGACATGGCATTAGCTACTATGGTTATACCAGATTTGGAGGGTGGTCACGGTGTTTTAACAGTTGGTTGTTTGAATATGAATGATAGGCTTCTGCATTATGTTATTGTGCATATGTTGACTCCACGACCTGGGAATTTTGCTAGGTTATTGCAGGAAGATATTTTTATGATATGGGTGCTTAAAAATAATATAGCTATCAATTGGCCTCATCACATCATGCAACATATGCTTAAATGCAAGGCCAGTGACACACCCCTCCCATACGGTGTCCTTATCACACGGATCTTGCAATATTGTGGAGTTCATGTTGATGCCAACGCGTGCACTCAGATAGGGTCCCGACATCACTTTTCAATGAATTCTTTGAAGAGGATGCATATTGTTAATGTCAACAGTGTTTGGCAACACGATCATGCTGATGATGAAGAAGAAGACCAAACAGACCATCATGAATACCCTGTGCAGCCTCCTCCACCTCCATCAAATCCTAATATGATGACTCAAATGTGGCAAGGTGTACAAGACTTGCAACATCGAATGCATGGTATGGAACAAATGCAGGTCCGGGTTCAACATATTGAAGATAACTTGGCAAACCTTTCTTTGGACATGAACCGTCAATTTGCTAACCTCAATCAGAATGTTAACAAGATTCTTCACCGTTTCGATGACTAAGTTAATTTTTATTCCAATTATGTATTACATTACTTATTTTCCCTTAAATTGAATTGTGTGTTTGATATATTACCTTACCTATTACTCCATATATTTGTATGTTAAATTGTTGCCACTTATTTTACGTACTTGAATATTATAACTTCATTTAATTATTTGTTTCTTTAACATTAATCACTCTCACTTACCTATCGAAATTTTTTTTACGACTTGGTAGTAAATTATATTACAAACAAATACTAAATTTTGAAAAAAATAAATTCATTTTATACTGCATTATAATTTATATAATTTAATAATAATTATTTTATAAATTCTTTATATTTTTTGTCTCTATATAAACATTTTTACAAATAAATATAATATTAATAAATTACATTTTATATTATATTTATAACTAGGGACATTTTGGTAATCTTTCATTTCTAACAATTAAACTATTTTTTTAATCTATCACATCAATCAAATCATACACTAATTCTCACAAACTTTATTTCCAAATCCACTCTCAATTACCCACAAATCCACTCTCAATTATCCACAAATCCACTCAAAAAAACAATTACAAAATTACTCTCAAATCCACCCAAATCATCTCCCCCAATTAACCTAAAGAGAACATTCCAAAAAGATAGATGAAATTAGATAGATCATGACAGGATATTAATAATACAATTTTGGGTAAAATTAATTTTAAAGAAGAAATAGTTCCATCAGTGTGATAAAAAGTAAAAATACATATATTAAAACTTTATTTGTTAACTGAAAGCAAAAATACATTTATATATTTTTTTATTTATTAACTTTTTTCTTATTAAAACTTTATTTTGTTTTTTTCAAACGTCAATAAAAAGTTACTAACAAAATAACATGTATGTATGAAAGTTACATAAGTTAAAAAAATTAAAGAAAAAATAAATAAATAAACATATATATATATATATATATATATATATATATATATATAACTTTTTACAAAATTTAAAATGATGATTTTTTTTACATTATTTGATGTGCTGTGACATATTTTTTATTTTATTTAAGAGATCAGTTTGTAAATTATATAAACTGAAATTTAGTATTTCATGATGCTGGTTCATCTCCATAAAAAAATTAAATAAGGTTTTGCAGGTGAAATATCTCTTTAATTCTTATTATATGAGTTCGGAGTTATCTTTTTAGTTTGAAATTAAGATCTGGAAACATGTAAATATAAATTAATTGTGAGTCTTTATTTATGAAAATATATTGGAACTTCTGAGTCAATGTTTATAAATTAAAGTTAATTTAGTTATTTTTATAGTAAATAATATAGTTTTTTAGTTATTTCCTTGAAAATAATATATTTTTTCTTAATTTAAATTTATGATATTTTAAATGAGGTGACTAACCTAAAGTAATTATTATTACTTGTTTAGTTGAGAAATTATAATTTGATATACATTATTGAGGATGTTTTGTTTGTATTTAATATATCTTAACTTTATAAAGTGATTATTATATGGACCTTGTGAGTCTTTATTATCAATTGTTGATGATAGTTAATAATGATATTACATAATTTTAACATTTTACATTTCGATCCAACATTCTCAATTCATTAAAGACAAATACAACATCAATTTGTTTTTAATTCCAAAAAATACAAAAAAAAATGTTACGAAAAATAAATACTAGAAAAACTCACCTATTTTTAACCTAATAAATCGAGAGAAAAAATTGTAACAATGAATATTGAATTTAATGGATAGCAAATCTGTTTATCTTGTGAAAGAATGGATATAAGTTGTATATGTTCGGAAATTTTGATATAATTTGTATTATGTCTCACACTAAACTTTTATGAAATTCAAATTTAAAATTTAGTTCTCAACCTTTTTCTAATATTTCAAAATTTCTCACTCAAAAATTGAAACAATTGTTATAATAATAAGTATAAAAATAGTTTTGCATGCTTGAAATATGTTTTTCTTATTATTTTTCTCACTTTAAGGATTATATAGTAAAATGGACATTGCTTTGATACATTTAAAAAAAATTTGGTGTTTTTAACGTGTGTTTAATAAGAACTTGTCACCTGTAATGATTTTAAATATTACAATATGACATGACATTCACAATTATACATCATTATTATCTCATCAAACAATGTATTTATTTCAATCATCGTAAACAATTACAACTACATTGTGCAACCCATTGTTCAATCCAACGCAAACCTAGTCTTGGGTGACATTAAGGGAAAACACAAGTGAGATTGGTTACATTTTTAGCTATTTGTTTGGTTTCTTTGTCTTTCTACGATTTGAAGATGTTGATCGAATGTGTTACTATTGCCTTTTGCCATTATTGTTTGTGTGTCTATTATCTAATTGCATTTAGGGACGACAATCTAATTACATTATTAGGAAATAATACATGTGCACTAACTAGATGATCTAATTAGATTTAAGAACAACTATCTAGTTGCATTTAGGAACACATGTGTATTGGTTAAAGCAGTAACTTCATGAGTTATGCAAATGAAGCAAGCAAAGATAGAAGATTAAAAATTCACTATTGCACAAAGCATCTTACTCGCCAAGTTGATATGTAATAAAATCATATCTCTTCATTTACGATGTCATGAATTGAATGACTGACATTAGACTGAATGATATCATACCATATAGTTACAGGATTATAATAAATGCAACACTGAGTAAGACAAAAGTATTTAATTACGAGTTTTACATCAAATTGTAATATTTAAAATTATTACATATAACACATTCTGTTGTCAAAATCTCTTGAAAAAAAATCCTAAAATAATACCGTGATAAAATAAATATTCAATGTTGTAAGATAAAAGTATCGAGAGAAAATTGCTCGATCTAAAATTAACATACATATACACGATCTAAAATTGCTCGAGAAAAAAATATTTAATCACAAAGTAGCCTTAATAATTTTCTCTATGTTTATCCATTTTCCTACTTCCAATAATGTTTCGCTTAAAATTGTGACCTTGACGGCTTAAACAGTGAGTTTTACCATCAAAACCATTTCAGTTTCTTGCTATCAAACAACGACATAGATAATATATACATACATATATTTATTCATTACACATTTGGGGTGGTTGGTGTGATTCAACTAGAGATCTCCCAAAACCTTCATCGTGAGTGATAGGGTGAGTTTTGATAATACTAAAATAACATCCCGTACTTTGAAAACAACATAACACACAATACAGTTCATTAGTTAGTCTATGTTCGACTTCCTTAAACTCAACTTGTACTGTGTACTTATTTTTTTTTTTTTTCATAGCGTTTCATAACTTCCAACTCCACCTCAATGAAACACTTTTTTGTTTTGTTTTTTGTTTTGGACAACAATAACCTTTATTGTGCATGGATTTACCAAGTTGTGATCAAGAGTACCTAGGGATCACTTTGAACTGTAATGGTTTTTTCATTTCCAGAGAGAGCTTAAGGCATTCTGAAAGATCCACAGGTTGCGCCGGAACCAATATGAATCGGTGAAGAAACTCTGCAAGCCACAGATGAACCGTGGCTAAGCCCAATGTTTTGCCAGGGCACACCCTACGTCCCGCACCAAACGGTGCAAGTCTCATGTCTGACCCCATGATGGACACTTGTTCATCAATGAATCGTTCGGGCCTGAAGGCCCATGGGTCCTTCCAGATCGATGAGTCGTGTGATATGGCCCACATGTTAACCATTGCAGTTGTGCCTGCAGGCACCAGGACTTTGTCAATGTGAACGTCATGGGTCGCGAGACGAGCCCATGAAAGCAATGGGCCCGGTGGGTGCAACCGAAGCACCTCCTTCACTACGGCTTGAAGGTAAGGGAGATTCGGAATGTCAGAGTCTCGCACGTGACTATTCCGGCCAATGCACGTGTCAATCTCTTGGCGGGCTTTCATCTGAACATCTTGGTGTACAACCATCATGGCCATAATCCATTCCAAAAGAATAGCAACCGTGTCTGTTCCCCGGAACAACATTTCCTGCACAAAACATACTCATGAATACGAGATATAATTAAACATCGGAAAATGTTAACGTTAGCAAGTGTGCTTGAGTACTGCTTACCCATAAGATAGCTACTGTATCTGATTCACCTATTCGTTCTTCTTCCGGCAACGATAACAAAGCGCTGAGAAAATCAGTCTGCCCAACCAGCTTTTCACATGTTTTTCTTTCTTCCACAATCTCACCAACCACACTCTTAACCTTAGTCGTCAATCCGTGACACCTTCTCTTCACGCCATGAAAGTCCAAAAACCTGAAGGGGAAATAGTCTTCCCAGTTAAACGTGGAAATCAACTCGTACCCTTCCTTGATCATATCTCCCAACATCTTTTCTCTTTCTGATTCTATACAATTATTATTGATCCCAAAAACACTCTCCAACATGGTACTCAGGGACGCTTCATGCAATATCCCTCGAACCTTCACCACCCCTTTCATCTCCATCTCCTTCCACGTTTTCCTCACCATATCACCCGCCACTCTCTGTCGGAGGCTCTCCAGATCAGAAATCCTCCTCGGAGAGAACATGTGCGTGGTCGCCACCTTACGAAGGTGACGCCAATATGTCCCATATGGAGCTAATCCGATGGCTCGCTCAAACATCAGCGTTCTTGCCGATTCTTTAACGGGTCGGTCTGAGAAGCCTGACCCGCAAAGAATTTCTCTCGCGGTCTCCGGGTGGCTGCTAATAACAACTCGGTTGGTTCCCAAACTGAGTGTCATGAGCCTCTTTGCTTTCAGGGAAGTGGCCATGGAAGCAAGTTTTGTATGGGCCAGAGAGCCCATTTCAGGCAGGGTCCCTAATACGGGCCAGCCCATTGGACCAGAGAGTTTTGCATGGTGTTTGTAACGGTTCTGATGTTTTCTCCATGCGAACCCCCCGGGGACAAGCCAGTAGTTGAAGGAGATAGCAAGAGCAGCGAGTAGCGTTGAGAGGAAACCAGTGATGAGGGACCAAGAGAAGGTGCTTTGGAACATTGTTTCGAGTGTCGGAATCATGACTAGGAAGGACGAGTTTGTTGGGTTGCAACGTGTGTGGATCAATGCATGCTATATATAGACTACATTACATGAAAAGTGGCTAAAGTTAACTTTTAACTCTGGTTAATTGGATAACCACGGTGAAGTTAAGCCCTTCACTTGCATGTTATATTTGCCTAAGGATTACGACGTTAAATATTTTAGTGGCAACAGTAACTAAGCATGTTTAATGAAGCACATAATGATGAGATTATAAGCTTAAAGGGTTAATTATGTTTGATTACTTTTGATGCATGGTTGATATTGAATGCTTTAAAGGGAAATGATGATATATATAAAATGTTGAATGGTCTCATACTGCGATTCTCATGTCAGAAAAATAACATCAAGTCGCATTATATAGTTTTTTTAAAGTTATATACATAGATTTGGGATGTGAGATATTCTGCAGAAGACCAGTTTTTTGCGAAAAGAATATTAGCTACGTCAGCCAGATCCCAGAAACATCATGGGAAGGATTCTCGTTCCACTATACTTATAAAACTAACTATAATGGAGATATGTATGTGCTTTCTACTTTACTAGCAAAAGATTTTCTTCTTCGCCTTCAATTATTAATGATATTGCGTGCCCACTGGTATAACAATTTTTTTAATTGATGGAAATAACAGTGTTAATTCTTCAGTTGCCTTTTGGAGAATATTGATAGACAGTGCACCAGTCAGCTCCTAATACTTTATATTTTGTAGTTTATTTTTCGAGAAATTACTGTGGATATATACTTTTTTTAATATGTTAAATAGTAATAAAATCTAAACATTTTTTTTTCTCATTTGAATACGTGTTGTGTATATCTTATTAACATGTTATTCATAGACAAAACTTCAAATAAATTCTAAATCTGTTTCTTATACGATTTCTCTCATCAAATTTGCAGAAGAATCTTTTTTTTTCATCCATAATATCTAAATCACAAATCTTTCTCACATTACATAAATTTAATTTATTGAAAAGTACATCTCACACAATTAAATAACAGCTTGAAAGTAAAGCAAGTAACTTTTACCATCTTTCAAAAAAAAATAAATAATAATAATAATAAAACATATTGACCCCTCTCTATCTATAAATAAGTTAAAGAACGCGTGGCTCCGCCCATGCCTATGAATCTAGTCACTCAAATTATTATTATTAATTAGTATTATTATTCTTGTTGAATTGAGAGGGTCATTTTCAAATAGCATAAATATATATACTTTGTAGAGCGAAGTGATTAGTGGATGAAAGCACCAAATACATATGAATGATCTATGAAGTGATTATAATGATTATTAAATCCCATGTTGAAGGAAAAGACCATTAGCGCAAATCCAATCTCCAAAGAAAAAGTATTAACTAATACAAAAAGCAAATAAAGCAGGTTGTCTTTGCAGAATTCCCAAGAGATAGAAGAAAACATTGCTCGTCACAATTTCGAAGAAACTTAGGTGAAGAAAATAAATGTAAGGGGAATCTTCTTTATGCAACTTTTTGACATAGGACACACGTTAGACACGTACGTACACCAATTTCGATGTGTGTTAGTGGCCATTATACACGACCAATTGGATTGCTTTCCCTTATGAGTAATGGCATGGTGACCAATGAGCGTTTGCCATCTCAAATTATTCTTACCATTAAAAGAGAGTGGTGGACCTTTTCGCCATGAATGGGTGTGTGTAAATAGTTGTTTATGTACCAAAAATACGAACCATGAACTGATGAACCAATTTGAAATTCGATTGCGAATCAAAAAGCTTGAGTGTTATCCAGATTTTGTTCTATGTTGTTCTTGAAGGCTTCAGGACTTCAAGTTTTTCTGGACGTAATTATGGATTGAGTTGGGTTAATTTTTTTTAAAAGTATAATCTAATCAATTAATTAGGGTTGAACAGTACTTTGCTTGTTGAGGCGGTTGAAAAAAAGTAGTGTAATCAAC